GGATTTCCAACACCTACACATTGCTTAGGCATCACTTCATCGTAACACATCTCATAAGAGACACAGGAAGGCAATGACAGTCCTTGCGTGTGTTGAGGCATGCGGGATAGTTCTGTTTGGCCATTAGCTGATGCTGTAGTTACAGGTGAAAGCCACCAGATGGCTTAAGGAAATGAATTTATTTCCAATCGAGATTTGAGCTTAGAAATCTGGGACCAAAAAAAGCATGATTGGAGGGAGATCAAAAGGCTTTCTGTAGTGAACCCCAAATAACCAACAAAACCCACTGATGAGTATCACCTGATGTCAGGAGTGGATTTGTGGAGGTTTTGCAATCTTATAGTGAAAAACATTAAACTGTGTACCGTCCTTCCAGTGTCTACATGCTTTAAGAATTACAGAATAATTACTGAAATTCAATTCAATTACACAAATATTTATTGAATGCCTAAGTCCCAATTAAACCTTATGAGAGGCTTATTGAAGCATATGCCACATAAAGCACAGCTTACTAAACATGGAAAAATATCCAGTAGATTAGAAGTAAAGATGGGTGTCCTTCCTCTTTGTGTGCACGAGTGCTCATTGCCGTTTCAAGGAGAAATGCTGGTGGCAAAATAATTGTGACCTAGAAAATTTTTGCATATTACCTGCAGGCAGAATAGGTAAAAGACAAAACAAAATAAAGCAAAAATCTAAGTGACTACAGTATTTATAAATGAAAATGTATTTTATATGCTATTTGTATACGAAAACCAGAGTTGAAATTGTTAGATTAGATTAAAACATTTTAATGAGGTAATTTAAAAATAAACCTATATATAAAGTGATCTGGGAGGATATGTACCAATAGTAGAAGATGTTCAAGTGGCTCTTTTATTTTATATTCTAGATGCTCTGTACTGTGTGAAGTTTTTGGAACAAGCACATGTTTATGTATAATTTTGGAATGTAGAGAATGAAATATAAACCCAGTTAAAGAAAGTTCCATTCACTTATTTGAGAAATATACTATAGGGTAGGTACTGGGAAGGAAGCCTAGCTCAAAGATAGAGTTGTGAATTAGAGATCTTAATTTCTGTTTATACTAACATTGAGATAGTCAAATTTGTTAACCTTTCTAGACTATTAAAAAATTATGTCCATCTGCAATGCCTACTTTTTAATATATATATTTAAAAGGTCCTTCAGAAATATTCAATATCAGATCATTTTTAAACTTCTGAACAAAAGTTGAAGTAGTTACAAAAGAATTCAGCAAAGATTTCTGAGGGTCTAACAATTTAAAAATATTTATTTTGCTAATGAGAATTTAATTAAAGAAAGCCAATAAATACTCCCCCTTCAAACATACCCTAAAATTGGACAATTAACTTTTTTTTTTTTTTTTTTTGCTGAGGAAGATTTGCCTTGAGCTAACATCTGTACCAATCTTCCTCTATTTTGTGTGTGGGTCATGGCCACAGCATGGCTGCTGATGAGTGGTGTAGGCTGAACCCAGGCAGCCATGGGGCTGGCCCTGACAATTAACTTTTAAAAGCATTAATTTCTTCTGAAGGTGCAGAAAGTTTTCTGAATTGGATAAAGTAGACATTTGTCTTCCTATTCAGAGTATGAATAAACCAAAGGAGATAAAACTCTAGCTTAACTAGGTAACCTGGTATTTGAGATTAACAGAAAAAAGTTGAACTGGTTAAGATAGTTTACTTATTTTTTCTTTTTACCAATCTACAGTTCATCTTTGCACTAATCATTTTTTGTTAAATAAACTGTTTACTTTCTGATTACAAAAGTGATACATGTACACTTAGAAAATTTTTAAAATAGAACAGTGTAAAGGAAGAAATAAAATATAAAAATCACTCCCAGTCCCATTACGGAGAGAAAACTGCTGTCGGCATTTTGGGTAATTTTCTTTCATTCTTTTTCCTGTGAATCTAAATATGACATACATATAACTGCATGTTGAGGGAAATCTCACCTGTTTTGCTAGAGTTGACAAAGAAGACCCAAAGCTTAGGACAGAGAACCACCAAGTACCCCACGGTTGAAAGAGATCTTCACACAGTTGGGCTCAAACTGCTCTCCCAGAGTTTATTGAATGACCCAACCTCTCCAGTGTCTATAAGCAAAAGGTTGATGGAAGGGGCAAAGGAGACGCATCAGAGTCTAAAACGGTCCTCCCCACGGGGAGGACTCCACTATCCCTCCTTCCAAAGCCAAAGGGACTATCGGCACTTTTCCCCTGGGGAAATGCTGCTAACGTCCTGTCCTTGTAGATCTGTTCTGGACTTTTCCTAGCAGGGAAAAGGAGAATGGAGAGATGAGGCAGGGTTGAGAGAAAAGTGGTCCCACTGTTTGGCAAGGAGAGCATGGACAAGCTCCTCTGGGACAAAACGACAGCTTGGAAGGCAACTTAGCTTGATTGAACTTGCCTCTACAATGCCCTGGAGGGTTTCCTAGGGGCCAGGGAGTCCTACCAGCCAGATACCACAGACTAAACCTCTGGGCCAGGAGCTGGAGAGCATTTCTGGCCGTGGAGCTGCCCTGTCAAGGTGCCACGCCATGAAGAGGCTCACTTGAGCACTCGATCAGAGCATCTGCAAGTGATACTGCCACCCGGGGGGCTTCTATGCCTGTGGGTGTGAACCTGAGAAGCTAGTAGAGAAACCTTCAGAGAATCACACTGGCGGTCCCTTTGGGGAAAGGCATGTCCCATTTCTTCCATCATTCTTCTCATTCCCCAAACCTAAAAGAGCTTGATCCCAGAAAAGGGAGAAGGTAGAACGAAAAGTGGATCCTTCCCCTCTTCTTGTCTTTCGGGAGGGAAGCTGGATTCACACTGGGCTGAGTGGGGAAGGGAGTCAGTGAGTATTCAAGTAGATATGAGTGAAGTCTCCTAGTAAGGACTGACCCAACTGAGTTTTAATAACTGGAAATGAGCAGAAAGCTCAGGAACCCTCCAGACAAGGAGGGAAGGAAGATGTCGCCTAGTACATTATGAGGCAGTTTGTTTTCTCCTTTACACTTCAAAATGTTCCAAGGAACTGTATTAGTTTTATAATGAGAAACTAAAGAAAGTTAGTTAACCGTGTTTATATCCTCTAAGTTCAGACTATTCAATAAATGAATTACAAAAGTGTTACTATTTTTTCTGAATTAAAAAAATACACATAAAAGAAGGAATATAAAAGAAGGAATGCAGTAGAAAATGGAAATTGCCTATATTTTTGCCATCCAGAGATTATTAACATCTTGTTGTATATTCATCCAGGCTTTTAAAAATTCTCTCTCTCACACACACATATACATTTAAAAATAATGAAACTCTAAAATAACTGTATTTCGTTAAAATAACATGTTGAAGAAGAAAAGATGTATTGTATCCTGGAGCAAAAGTGTCCCCAAGAAAGATATGATTAACTGACTGAATTCTCTTTATATGAGTAGTTAACTGAATTATTGTTGCTAACTAATAGTTAAATGAGTAAGTTATCTGATAATTAATTTAAAAAAACCTACGTAAATCAGCTTTAAATTAGGTCCCCGCCACCATGCACTGTTTCATTCACTGGACACGCACTTACAGGAGGTGTTGTTTCCTGGACTAAAACCCAGACAGTCTAGTTTGTCAAACCTGGACAGCTCGGCAAGGCCACCTTTCGACTCGGGGTGAACTGGGTGAACCACCTACCACCTGACATGTCTGCCAAGTGCCCTTTCAGCTTAAAGAGTTGGTGATTCAATGAATTCAGAGAAGTTGTGACTTTACCCTTCTCTCCCTTCAGCCTCACAGAGGAGAAAAACTGGGACATTAAAGAACTGTCAAAGGCCACAGAACTGGTTAATCCTAAACTGGAATTACAGGATTGTTAGAATCCTTTTTTGTGCTCATTCACTCTGCCATTTATTCATTTAATCAACAAATGTTTATTTAGTCCCTCCAATGGCAGTCCAGGGCTCCGGGCTTGTCATGTCTTATAAAAGATAATAATAACAACAATAAAAGCTGTTAGGCATTTGGCACTATATTGAGTGTTTTCACTTAGAATACCTTGTTTAATGTTCATATAACCTTAGCTAGCACTTAGAGAAGAAAAAGATAATGTTGATAAATTATAGTATTCTTAAAAAACATTCTGGGATGGGGGAGAGACAAATAGGCAGAGCACAGAGAATTTTTACGGCAGTGAAAATACTCTGTATGATAATATTATAATAGATATATGTCATTATATATTTGTCCAAATCCTTAAAATGCACAACACCAAGAGTGAACCCCAAGGTAAACTACATACTTTGGGTGATTATGATGTGTTAATATTGATTCATCATTGGCAAAAAATATACCATTCTGGTGAGTGATGTTGATAATGGGGGAGGCTATGCATGTGTAGGAACAAGAGGTATACGGGAAATATCTGTATATTTCTCTTAATTTTTTTATAAACCTAAAACAGCTCTAAAAAAATAAAGTCTTTGAAAAAACATTCTAAAGAAATATCTGCACTGCTATGTTCATTGCAGCCATCCTAAATGGATAAAGAAAATGTGATATATACATACAATGGAGTATTATTCAACCTTCAAAAGGAGGGAAGTTCTGGCATTTGCTACAACGTGGATGAACTTGGAGGATGTTATGCTAAGTGAAATAAATCAGTCACGGAAAGACAAGTACTGTGCAATTCCACTTATTTGAGCTATCTACAATAGTCACACTCTTGGAGCAGAGAATAGAATGATGTTTTCCGGGGAAAGGAGGGAAACGAGGAGCTGTTGCTCAATGAGTACAAACTTTCAGTTATGCAAGATGAATAAGCCCTAAGGATGTGCTGTACAACACAGTGGCTACAGTTAACAATACTGTACTGTGCATTTAGAAATTTATTAAGAGGGTAGATCTCACGTTAAGTGTTCTTACCACCCAAAAACAAAACAAAATAAAACAAAGCAAAGGGACAGAAGAAATTCTTGGAGGTGATGGATATGTCTATTACCTTGATTGTGGTGATGCTTTCACAGGTGTCTGCATACGTCCAACCTCATCAAATTGATCCTTTAAGTACGTGCAGCTTTTTGTATATCAATTATTCCTCAGTAAAGCTGTTAAGACAAACAAACAAACAAACAAAAACCATTCTACCTGCATCTTTTGGGGGCTTCTGTGATGTGTGTGCGTGCATCTGTGTGCATATGAAGGAGTTTAATTTATGTACTAACCGGAGAACACTTAGATAACAAAACAAGACATAAGTCCTCTTTGCATCAAGACCCACTAGACATTGAGGAGAAGTGGGCACGAGGGACTTCTGCAGTTGGCACAGGAGATGCTATGAATGATTCATGCATTCATTCAACCAATACTGGCTGAGTGCTTACTAAGTCCTCAACACTGAGTAGGCACTTGGGACACAATAAAAAGCGAAAAATGGACACATCTTGACTTCCTTGAGCTTACTATCTAGTAAGAGATTTCAAATGGTCACAGAAATAAATGTATATAATATTCATAGCTAATATTTACTGAGGACTTCCTATATGTCAGACACGATTTCAGGAACCTGTCCTGTATTCACTTTTTAAATCATTGCCAAGAAAAAATAAAAACAAAACTGAAAAACCCATGAGCCAGGGGCTACTATTATTACCCCCAATTCTATTTCTTATAGGGACCCTAAGGAAAGGTTGGTGGTCATACGAGATCATTCCTTGGGAGAACTAATTGAGCCTGGGGGTCGAGGAAGATTGAGGAAGGATTGCCAAAGGCTGCCCTGCCTTACAGGGTGGGCAGGGTACTCACTAAGCAGTAGGGAAGTGCTGGAAGGGTACTGGTTTGGGGTACTGGTGAATTGTTAGTAGTAGACAAGAGAGTGGAAAATGAACATTTATGAAGTAGTTGCTACTTTCTATAGCTGGAGGTCTGTGCAATACGGAACCCTATTCCTGAATCATTCTCTGGCCCGACTCGAGGATACTGATCCTGAGTTCCTTAAAGGCCAGGGGGGAACAGATAGGAAGTGCATCAGACTACCTATAGGGGGATCTAATTAAAATGAGGTGACCCCTGAACCTAGGGAGTGGCAGCAGCATGGGGTTGGCAGTGTCAGATGCTCTGATGGTGGCAGCAGGAGAGTGGCATCTGTGGTGGCAGTGGGAGGACACTAGTGACAGCTGAGGCAAGCTCACAAGTCACCTGGGACCCTGCCAGGGAAAAAGCTCTGAGCTATCTCTTATTGGATGCTTCCAAAGGCCAGCGTGGCTTGGGGAAGTGAGTCACACACCTGAAAGTTTCCCTGCATATTCTCTTACAGCATCCTTGACGCTCTCTGGTTTCCAAGCATTGAGCGTGTTGCTGCCTGTGTTGTCTGCTGAGCACCGCCACCACTCAAAATTTTAAGATTCCCCTGAGGGGGTTTCCATTTTTCCACTTTCAACCATTGAGCTCTTTCTTCATGTGCTTCACCCTCTACAGCTTTTGGTCTCGTTCAAGATGTGCTTGGTCTAGGAAGATGAACTACTGAAAATCAGAGCTTAATTTAATTGGACATACAGCAAATAACACGTGGATTTTAAAAAATACATGTTTTCAAAGTTCCAGTTGTAATTCCTGAAAATAATGGATTAAGACAAAGAGAAATTTTGAATTATCCAGATTTTGGAACCCAGGTTTTGAAGGTCCAACAGATTCTATCAGATGCCATTATATATACATTATATATATACTGTACTTTCCAGCTCTTTGTGTGATTTCTGGTTGTGTTCCAAATCTCTTTAGATTCAGCAAGGATAGCTGTGGATAAATTAACACTGAGCCAAGTTTTGGTTTTAGATTCAGTGTATGGCCTGGAATGGGTGAGGACAGTTGAGAGTATTGTTAGGCCCCAGGGGCACTAGAGGCATGTTTATGAAAGGCTAGGATAGTGGGTGTGGGTATCCATTAGAACAGTGGTTCTCGAAGTTTCGTGCCTGGACCAGCAGCATTAGCATCACCTGGGAATTTTGTTAGAAATCCTAAGTCTCAGGCCTCCCCCAAATTCCTATATCAGGCGCTCTGAGATGGGGCCCAGCAATCTGTGTTTTAACAAGCCTCCAGGTGATTCTGATGTATGCTGAAGTTCGAGACCCACTGAGCTACTCAAAGCCATAGGGGCTTAAATAAATGGAAGTTCATTTCTCACTAATGTATTGGTCTATGAATAAGGAGTGTAGGGGTGAAATGGCAGCTCGATGATGTTGGGGACCTAGGGTCACTCTATCTGGTCACTCTGCTACTCTCAAAGTGTGGCTCCCCTCTCATGGTCTGCAGTGGTTACTCCACTCTGGCTTTTCAACTCAAGTGTCAGCCAGCGAGAAAGAAGGGCCAGGAGAGCATGCCTCTTTCTTCTAGGGTCATGACCCAGGAAGTGTACACATTACTTCTACACCAATCGTACTGACTGTCACCTACTCACATGGCCCCAATTAGTCATCTTGACCTGATAACATGGGACCAATTACAACCTAGGGTGGGAGTGGAGTTTCTATCATTGAATGAAAGGCAGAATGGATATCAGTAGATAACTGGTAATCTTTAGGAAGAACCCTGAAGGAAAGTTTTACCTTTTCCCCCAAATCACTCCATTCTGTTTCCCACTTAGATCTAAACTTCTAAGTAATTGATTAAGAGCAGAAGAATTTATCAAAGTAAGATCTAGCCAACTCAATTTTTGGTAAAGAAATGATCTTGAACTTGGGGGTGAGGAAAACTCAGGTTTGAATCCAGGTTCTTCTTAGTAGCTCTGTTTGCTTGGGCACCTCTCTGAGCATGTGTTTCCTCACGTATGCAACTGTGAAAACAGGTCAGAGTCAAGGTCAGAAATAATGCATATAAAGCTCATAACATGTGACTGGAGGTTAATGGGTGCTCAACAATTAGTAACTATTGCTATTATTGTTCTTTCTATTTTTCTATTAAAACTCAGTAAAATAACCCATGCAATTAATTAAAATGCTTAAGACAGCTTTTTACATTCTACAGATAGACCATAAATAAGGCCACATAGTTTTAAGCATGAGAATGTAGTGCCATATTAAGCTTTCTATTTATTTATTTATAAGGGTGTCTCTACCTGGTTAAGTGGATTTTTATGAACAGGCCAATAAAAGCCTTATCTAAGGTGGAGTCTGCCAGGGCATCCCGCAGTTATGGACGGTTTTATAAAGAATAGACATAAGGGCTGGAATGCCTCTTGGAGGGGACAAAGCCTCACCTTTTACACAATTTGTCCTTGAGTTCATCTTCCACACCTGTGACGGCTCTCTCTTTCAGTCCTGGTGCATGGCCCTCCATATCTATGATCTGCAACCCCAGAGGTTAAGGATATGGTCTTCCTTCTCGAAACCCCCACAGCCTTTTGTCCAGGGCTGTGCTACAGAGCACCCTGTGGCCTGCCTTGTGTGGTGCTGCAGCTGGCTGGGTGTAGGATGACTCTCCACCATGCTGTGTGCCCTTGGAGTCCTGGAAAGGCCTCACTGTTTGGTGTGTGCCATCTGGTTGGTGCCTTGCGTGTGGCATGAGTTCTACAGTATTTACTAAGCAAATGAGGGTTTCAGCAGAATCTGCATGTAGGGGCAATACAAAAAGCACCTTTAAAGCAATGAATCAAAAAATCATTTAACATTTGTAATGGACAAGCAGGTATGTTCTCAATAATTTAGATAAATGTCATACCTCTACCTTATATAACAATTGGTTTCTCAATGCTTACTAATTGAAAATGTTTTTATGTATTATCTGACTTTACAGGGAGTAGGTTTTCCTTCCTTAGAGTTTTTTTTAGTAACCCTGGCACATAGATGGTTTTATGACAGAAAATTAATTGACAAAATAAATTGGCACTGAAGTTCCTAAGTTTACAGGAAGGTTTCAGTATGTTATTTGGCTCATTTTATCAGAGATGTATACAATTTAATATAATGATGGAGCTTAGAAATGGAGTGGTGACACAATTTTATAAATTCTTCTGGAGAGACACTTCTTGTCCTCCTCTTTGCTGAGCACTGGTCCCCAGGTCCTCAGATTCTTCGCCAGTCCATGTGGATGTTTCTAAGATCCCACCCCTAGTTCATCCAAGGGTGGGAGGAAGGGATAGGACACGGCCTTCTCTCTCATCCCTTCGGTCATGTCTTCCACCCTTTCTATTTGACCTGGGGAGAGATGGCTTGCTACGATTTGTGGTTAGGCAAGTTGAGTGGGAAGAAGACGGATGGAGCCTCTGGGAAAAAGAGCAAAAGCTACTTGTTAAGGGCTGATTTCTATGAACTGGGGGGGTAATGGCTGGAGGAGGCTGGAAGGGAACTTCCATGGATGGAAGGCCTATTCTACGCCAAGGGCTATCACATACTTGCATTTCAAGGGCCAGAAGAATTGGGCCAAATATTTTGAGAGCCAGCACAGGCTGTCCATCTTAGATTTTGCCAAATAAGGGTCTTAGAGCAACAACCGCTATCTCTCATCACCACAATATGGGAAGGAAGGACATTTTGACACCAGAAAAAGTCAGCAGTACCTTATTTTAAAATAAAGAATAGTTTTTCAAATTGAATATATTTAGCATTATAAAAAACTTATTGCATTATCTTTTTTTTCCTCTAATTTTGCCATTTTGTTGTAGACTGGTACCATACAATGTTTCGTTTGTTTACATGCTATCTTAGTAAGTGGGTAGCCTCCTGACTCCTGGCCTGGGTAAACACTCCTTCTGTATCCTTTGATAGATCACATGTAATGAGGCTAAAATTTAAACAACATGACTCAGATGTATGAAAAATGTTAATTGCCCTATTTTCTGTAACTGATCTCATCTTGCTCTCATCATTCCTAATGATGGAGGAAAACACTTGATCTTGACAAATAAAAGTGGCTTTTGGGTAGCTTTCAGTTTTAAATAGCCTATTTGGGTCACTGCTCAGTCTTTTGGATTTTCCCCATGGCTTCCCCCACTCCTTTCTCCTTTTCAAGATGGCATCTGGGTACAAGGAGAGCTTACACGTCCTCTGGTCTTGTGGCCTCCCACTGAGGTGTCTCTCAGCCTTGGTCTCTATCCTCAGTGTAACTGCATTGGTGAGGCTTGGACTCCTGGCCACCGAGCTCCTGCACTGCGGAGACATAGCTGCGCCTGCTCCATGCTTGAGCATCATGCTGGCTCCACTACTGATGACCGAGGATTTTGTTGTTGCATCCAGTCACGAGGTCTCAGTACTTGGGTCTCCGTGCCCCAACTCCAGGCTTTATTGGGGTCATTGGTTCTGTCAGTCCTTCCATACCCCCAAACCCCTTGGGAGACCTGGGAGTGCTCGCCTGTTCTCTCCACACTCAACATGATTGTGCAGGATCCTGTGAGCCTGCCCTCAGGTCCACTAGCCATGGCCCTGCCCTCAGCCATTGTTCCTCCTCTGTGCCCACATCACATTGCCTGCCCTGACAAATTTAAGTCTTCTGAAAGGTTTATAGTCTCTCTGACCATGGCTTTCAAACTTTCTTTTACCATAAGCTACACTAAGAAATATATTTATGTCTAGATAACAGTACACACATACACACAGACAGTACACACATATGTATGTAAAAGAAACAAAGACACTCCCAAATTATATTTATCCTTACTCCTTGTGGATGCACTCTTATATTGTCTAATCTAGTCTACTCTAAGTCACTTCAAAAAACATGTTGATCTATTGGACTAAAAGGCTTCTACAAAGCAAAGGAAACCATGAACAAAGCAAAAAGACAACTCACCAACTGGGAGAAAATATTTGCAAATCATTTATCAGACAAGGGGTTGACCTCCAAAATATATAAAGAACTCATATAATTCAACAACAAAAAAACAAATAACCCAATCAAAAAATGAGCAGAGGATATGAGCAGACATTTTCCAAAGAAGATATACAGGTGGCCAACAGACATGTGAAATGATGTTCAACATCACTAATTATTAGGGACATGCAAATCAAAACTACAATGAGATAGCACTTTACATCTGTCAGAATGGCTATAATTACCAAGAGAAAAAACAACAAATGTTGGAGAGGATGTGGAGAAAAAGGAACCCTCATACACTGCTGATGGGAATGCAAACTGTTGCAGCCTCTATGGAAAACAGTATGGAGATTTCTCAAAAAATTAAAAATAGAAATGCCATATGATCTAGCTATCCCACTACTGGGTATTTATCCAAAGAACTTGAAATCAATGTTCATTGCAGCATTATTCACAATAGCCAAGACGTGGAAGCAATTCAAGTGCCCTTCTATGGATGAATAGATAAAGAAGATGTATATATATACAATGGAATAGTACTCAGCCATAAAAAAAGACAAAATTGTCCCATTTGCAACAACAGGGATGGACCTTGAGGGTATTATATTAAGCAAAATAAGCCAGACAGAGAAAGACAAATACTGCATGATTTCACTCAAATATGGAAGATAACAAATACATGGATAAAGAGAACAGATTAGTGGTTACCAGAGGGAAAGGGGGTTGGGGGGTGGGCGAAAGGGATAAAGGGTCACATACGTACAGCGATGGATAAAAATTAGGCTACTGGAGGTGAGCATGATGAAGTATATTCCGAAATTGATAAACAGTAATGTTCACCCCAAATCACACAATGTTATAAATCATTATGATCTCAATAAAATTGCTTGGGGGGGGAAAAAAAAAGATGTTGATTCAATGCACATGATTGATTTCTTTTTGTACCATTGGGTCACTGTCCTAGGAAATGCCCCAGGAAGTGAAGTGCTAGCTCCCAAATCTTCAGATTCTTCCCTAGTCCATACGGATGTTTCTAAGATTCCACCCCCAAGTTCATCCTAGGGTAGGGCAATGAGATAAGGATGTTTGGTCTTTCTCATCTCTTAAGTCATGTTCTTTACCTTTCTAGTCTAGGGTTTATTTTAAGGCCAGTCCTCTAATATTTTGGTTCTTATTATGTAAATTTAGTTGTGGGAGTTCCAAGAAAACTTCTTTAACTCTGAAAAGCCTGGATTTCAAGAATATTGTCACCTTATCTTACCATGAATTTAAAAAATGGTTTTAAAAAAATTATTATTTTTTATCTCATGGTTTCTGTGGGTGAGGAATTTGGAGGTAGCTTACTGGGTGGTTCTGGCACAGGGTGCTTATGGGATTGCAGACAAGATGTCATCTGAAAGCTTGACTGGGTCTCGAGAATCTGCTTCCAAGATTGCTTACTCACTTGGCTGTTGCAGGAGACCTCAATTCCTCACCACGTGTACCTCTTTATAGGGCCAGTTGAGGATCATCATGATGTGACAGCTGGGTTCCCCCAGAGGGAGTGATCCAAAAGCCAGCAAGAAGGGAGCTGCATTGCCTTTCATGATTTAGTCTCAGAGGTCACCCATCATCACTTCTGTCTTATTCTATCCATTAGAAGCAAACACTAAGTCCAACCAAAATGTAAGGGGAGGAGAATTAGGATCCACGTTTTAAAGGGAGTGTCAAAGAATGTGTGGACATATTTTAAACCTCCACAGTAACTTGCATATCTTTTCAGATAACTAACAACACAAGGCAGCATATGCTATGTCCTACCTGAGTGATGTAAATGGTGAGTTCTACGGCAGAACTCCAATGGAATGAATAACCACTGTTTCCTTGTGCAATCAGGGAAAGCTGCACAGAGAAGATGAGTCTTGCACTGAGTGGTGAAGAATAAGGTCAGAAGACGAGAGAGAATCACACAGGCATTCTAGTTTCTGTAAACAGAGAGAGTGAAGTTGTGGAGGGAGGTTTCCACCTTAGATGTCCAGAGTCCTCAGACTACTCCATGTTGCTCATTCTAGTTTCCCACCCAACACAGTCGACTCTTAATAGCAATCCACATTCCTGATCTCTAACACTCTTTAACAAAGTTTGACTGTCCTGTGTCTCATGACCTCCAGGTCTGTGTTCTGAAGAGTGGAAGTCAGTTATGTAAGTGGATCTGGGCTTAAAAGCATTAACGTATTCACTCCACCCACATAGCAGAAACATACTTTTAAAAAGTATGTATAACCTGATAATCTTTGAGATAGGGATACACTTGGGAAATCATCACCACAATCTAGATAATGAACATATCCAGGGTCCTCAAAAGTTTCGTTGTAAACCTTGCTATCCCTCCCATCCCTGACCTGCATTCTCAGGCAACTGCTGATCTGCTTTCTGTTACTACAGATTAGTTTGCATTTTCTAGAATTTTAAATAAATGGAATCACATAATATATACTCTTCTTAGTTTGGCTCCTTTCACTTAGCATAGTGGAATCATCCGTGTTGTTGAGTGTATCAACAGTTCATTTCTTTTTACTGATGAGCATATTCCATTGTAAGAATATACCACAATTTGTTTGCCCATTCACCTGTTGATAGTCATTTGGGTTGTTTCCAGTTTTGGGCCATTACCAATAATACTCCTAGGAATATGTGAGTATAAGACTTTGCAAAGACACATATGTTCATATGAAACGGTTGGGCCTTATGGCAGATGAGTGCTTAACTACTTCAGAAACTGCCAAATTATTTTCCAAAGTAGTTGTACCATTTTGAATTACCATCAGCAGTGTATAAGGGTTCCAGTTCCTCCACATCCTCACCAAGACTTGGTATGGTCAGTCTTTTGAATTATAGCCATTCTGGTGGGTGTGTAGGGGCATCTTATTGCGGTCTTCATTTGCATACCCCATTGGCATATCCCATTAGTCATTTTAATTACTAATGATGTTGAGCGGTTTTTTTCTTATGTGCATATTTGCCATCCATGTATCTTCCTTGGTGTCTGTTTTTGCCCATTTTGCCCATTTTTTAAATGTGCTGTTTCTTATTACTGAATTTTGGGAGTAATATATTCTGGATATAAGCCCTTTATCAGAAATATGATTTACAAATATTTTCTGTCAGTCTGGGGCTATCTTTGTATTCTCTTAAGAGTGTCTTTTGAAGAACAAAAGTTCTTAATTTTGATAAAATCTGACTGATTAGTTTTCTTCTTTAATGGATCATGCATTTAGTGTTATACCTAAACATTTTTGCTTACCCTAAGGCCACAAAGATTTTCTCCCGTATTTTACTTTAGAAGTCACTGTTTTAGAAGTCACAGCCTTTGCACCTTGGTTGAAAATCAATCGACCATGTATGTGTGGGTTTATTTTGGGACTTTATTTTGCTCCATTATTCTATTTGTCTCTACTGTGGCCAATATCACACTTTCTTGGTTATTGTAGCTTTGTAATAAGTCTTGAACTCAGGTAGTGTAAGCCTTCCTACTTTGTTGTTTTTCAAATTTATTTTTGTCAGACTGTCAGGTGTCGGGTGGTTAATGTGGATGGCAAGCAAAACTGAAAGTAACAATCAAGTCTTTATTCATTTACTGTGATAGTATGAGCAAGAGGCCAAAATGCAAAGCTCTAGCTCATTCTGTTCCATTTTTCCCCATGGAATAACATTAGGTGTAATGGTCAATCAGATGACAAGCAGCACAAGTGGGGGAAATTGTCTCACTGGTGAAGAGCACTGAACAAAAGCTCCTGCTGTCTTATGGACAGGGCCCTGGAGAGAGGGAGAAAAATTGTCTTAGTCCACTTTCCAAGAAGGCCCATCTCCAAAGGGGGATGCCCTGTCTAGAAATGCAGATATGATTATAAGCATGGCTGGCCTGAAGTGGGACTTGACCCATGACTGAAACTCCCTCCAGGAGACCGCAATTCACTGCCTTGCACCAAAGCACACCCCCGAGCATCAAACTTAGTGTGAGGAGAGTAGCGGTCACTAATGAGGCCTGCCAGGCAAAGCCTTTGTAATTGCTCATGGTTGGGCCTGAAAGACAACATGTAGGATTTTGGCCTGGAGCTGGACTCCTCAGTTTCTGGCTAGTTTAGGGCCTTTGCATTTGTACTTAGTTTTAGAGTCAGCATGCCAATTTCTAGAAAAAAGCTTGCTGGGATTTTCATTGGGATTTTGTTGAATCTATATATTAATTTGGGGAGAAACTGCATTCTAACAATATTGACATGTTGAGTCTTCTGATCCATGAACATGGTATATCTCTGTATTTATTTAGATCTTTAAAGATTTCTCTTAGCAATATTTTGTGGGTTTTGATGTACAGATTTAATGCATCTTTAGTCAGATTTACCCCTAAATATTTAATATTTTTTGGATTTGGATCCTGCAATGTTGCTAAACCAACACATTAGTTCTACTAGATTTCTGTACACTCCATAACATTAACCTAAACTATGTGGCATTGGTTTAACTGGTAGGCAGCAGACAACAAGGACACAGGTTGGAAAGCTGGTGACTCGTTTTATGCTACCACAAAACATTTGATAACATTGTCAACTCAATTGGTAAGGCAGACCATGTGCTCTATGAATCTGCAGCTGCAGGGAAAATGGTAGGAAAGATGATTCTCTGACCAACCAGAGAGTATTGGCTGTTTCCCACCTTCTTTAGTAAAGTCCTTTGAGAAAGTTGAACTCAGGTAAAAGCTAGCCATTTGGTTAACAGAGATAGAAGGCAATAAAGTTCTGCTAAGATTGGAGTTCTCTGCCTGCAGCCTGCAATACAAGTAGACTGGGAATGGTTATTTAGGGCTTTCTAGTTTTGATAAAGCCAAAAGCTACTATACTTCCAATAGCAGAAGATAAAACTGTGACCCAAGGTCCTTCTCAAGAGTCATTAGCAAGTGTTGTCTGACAGATGATGAAAGCCAGGCAAGCAGTAAAGATCATTTTAAGGGGATTGTCTTCTCAAGGGGATTGTCTTCTCAACCAAATCTACTGTTTTTGCTGGTTGCAAGGGCACTGCCATTAAGTTAATAGAAACAGGATAGATGGGACAAACATAGAGCCTGGTAAATAAAAACGAAGAGTAGTTAGGCATTAGTAATATGACGAGTTGACACATTTAGCTGTAGTTATTTGTATAAGGAATTGTAAAAGGAACAAATAGACCAGAAATCTATTCAGTATTTCTCAAAACTGAATTGACAAGGGAGCTACAAGCTTAGCTTGCAAATGTCTGTGTCCATTTGACTCTGAAGTAACCCACAATCCTTCAAAACTGCACCAGTAGGCTATTAGGCATAAAAAGATGTGCAGCCTCCCAGGAGGGCTTTTTCTTCACTATGTTCTTCAGATGGAATCATGGGAGATCATGGATAAAAACCTCCCAGCGAGTAAAGCCAGTACCTTCTGAGGCAACAAACAAGGCAGTTCCTTCTAGAAAGCAGAACTGGGGTCTAACCGCAAATTTACTCCACCATCTGGGCAGTCTTTGAAGTTTCCCCTTTGCAACGTTTGGTAAGGCTGTGGACCAGCGACTACTCTTTTTTTCCTCATTATTTTTCCAAATTGGTTTTCATATTCCTACTTCACCACTGCACACCAGGTGTGTGGGGGAGGGAGTGGGAGAGGGGAACAGATCCTCACCTTTCTAGATCACTGGATCATGAAGAGTTAAATTCAGACTTGTAAAGGACTGCACATCATCTGCAGATCGTGGACTTTGAGCTGGATGAGTAATAGCTTGGAACTTTGGCTTTTTTCCCTTTGAAACAGGGTATGTTCTATGTGTCAGAACACAGGTATATATGGATAGCTGGATGGCCAGAGGAGCGGACTGTGAGGCTTGTCCACCGAAGTACATTCTCACCTTCTTCATTTATTATTAGAACTGCCCCGTATTAGCTGATCCGCTAGAGAACTTCATCTCTCCCCTTCTCAACAGTTAGATGTGGCCATGTCTTAATCAGGTTACGGAATGAGTAGAAACGATGCATGCTACCTCTAAAACACATTTCTAGGAGTATGGAGGCATGCACCCTTCTACTCTCTGCCTTCTTGCTGGGCTAAGATACAGATGTGATGGCAGGTTCTGGGGTGGAGGTCATGAACAAGGACCGCGGTGCTGCCCTACCAGTGCTGGACCACCTACTTTTGGACCAGTACACGAAAGAATAAAGCAAAGCAAAACTATCCTGTTTCAGATACAGTATCTGTGTCTCTGTTAAATCAATCTAATTTGTAGGCCAACTAAAACCCAGGCCTAGTTTTGGAATAGAGTATTAAGTATTGTCTCCAAGGGGCAAGGGAGAATCATTCTTGAACGAGTGGAAAAGAAACTTTTGCTAATATAAGTCAGAGTTTTGGCTCAATTAAACCAAATGCATAACCACTGAACACTTAACTTGAGCCAATCCAGTACGAGATATTACAGAAGAAAAGACATGGTCCTGCTCAGTACTGAACTATCTATCTATGGATTGTTACATAAGAGAGAAATAAACTTCTGTTTTGTTTAAACTGCTGTATTTGGGTCTTTGTTGTATCAAAGAGGATGCTTAGAATGCATCCTAAAGAACATGCGTTGTTAGAACTTGTTGGAAAACCAGAGAATGATCACAAAAATAACAAATCAAAGCAATGTGTGCCCAAAGGGGAATATGGACAAAAAAAAGACTCTCAGTGTGAAGCTCAGAAGGGATCAGGAGAGTGAAGAAAAGTAAGTCGTAGTGGTGAAAATGGCGTCATTGAAGGCAGGAATATTTAATTTTCTTCCCCCAAAACAAACAAATAAACTCAACGTAAATTTTCTTACAGCTATTCTTGTAAATGAGATAAGAAATCCATTTTATGAGAAAAAGCTTTGAAATAAATTAAGGTATTTTTTCTTTAAAAATGTTTACTTTTTAATAATAATAAAAGTAACATAGCCATTGGAACACCTAAGACTGTAACAATGGCGAACATTTTGAAACAAGTTTAAAGAAAGTGAAAATCAGCAGACCATTACCCTGAGCAACCAAACTGCAAACCTTGTTTTAATTTTTTCCAGTCTTTCTCCAGTGGGAGTCCAAGCAGAGGTCCGCGTGTTTTTATATACACTGCATATTACATATACAGTGCTTCTTCACTTCACATTATACAAGTACTTCTCTTTGACATGAAAATCCTTCAGTTCTTAGTTGCCGAGTATTTCTACCATATTTAACTTCATACAACCACAAAACATAGGAAAAGGAAATCAATATGTATCAAAACGCAGTGATTAAAAAAAAACACAGACTATTTCCTTTGACAGAAGAATGGTCTTATTTTTTTCAAATGCTTAGTAATGCGGTGTCTTCACAAGGCGAAAAGTGACACCTTGGAGCATTTTCAGGAAAGGTCTGTAGAACCTACTTCGTATAATCTCACAGCAAAAACAAATCAAAGTAAAGATTGAGGCAAACTGCCCGGAGGAAATCTAAATGACAAAATAAACACTTCAATCTAAGTACCGGCTTAATCCTCCGGCTCCGCTTATGTTACAGTCCAGACCGCATTAACACAGGGCGGTAACCAAAGCCCGGGGGCAGGCTGGGGCAAAGCCTTCTCACTTGTGTGGGTGCTAATCTGAAGTTCCTTCCCGCATCGGAGACTATCTGCCCATTTTGGCAGAACATTTGTGCAAAACCAAAATTTCACATATGGAACTCCCAAGTCACCCATCTGGCTCCACCCACCTTATTTTTGGGTTGAAAAATTTGTCACAGGAACAAATGTTATCTCCCATGATTCCAGAAACAAGAATGATCCAAGAGCACCATTAAAATCACCTAAACTCTGTTAATTTTGGTGTTAGCGCCCTGCTCTTTTATTCCGCCCCCATAATGTGGGCTTATCAATGTACCGTGTATGTGTATATATATGTACATATACATATACAATTATCTTTCCTATTCTGAGCTTTTTGAAAGTTGTGCTTAGTTTTCATTTCGGATACTCATTTTTTGATATCATTATAATGGGTCCAACGGAAACATCCATTCTGGTTGTCATAACGTAGGGGTCTTATATCTTACTGGGCATGCCCAACAACTGCTAAGGAGGTGGTGAAACGGGAACAACTTTAAAACCAAAGGCCAGGCTTTCTTTTTGGCCTCTGCCGCTTCACCTACTGCGCCGCGATCAGCCCACTTGTTCCCTGCAAGGGATCTCTGTCCCGGCCGAGACAGAAAAACCCGCCGGTGCTCCCGGGCCAGGTACCCGTTCCGGGCGGGAACACGCCCTGTGACAGCGCGCCCGGCCCTCGCCTTGGGTAACCTCGATTCCGGGGCGGCAGCGGCCAGAGTCCGCAGCGCACGCGGCCGGGGCGGACCCGAGCCCGCCCGCCCAGTGCACGCCGGTCCCGCCGCCGGGCGCCCGCCGCCTCCTCAGCGGCGGCTCCGCTCGCGACCGCGCCGTCCCGCCTGGTGGCCCCTCGGCCACTCGCCCGCACATGCTCGTGGCCACCAGGAGAGCTCGCAGGCTCTTCCACAGCCTCTTCCTGGCCCCGAGAATGGGCGACACCACCTCTAAGATCGTCAGCCCCCAGGAGGCCTTGCCGGGCCGGAAGGAGGCGATCCTCGTAGCGGGTAAGGACGCGGGCACGCACAGAGGGCACGGCAGTCGCCGCTGCGCACGCGCACGCGCGCGCGCGTCCTCGGCCCGCCCGTCCGGAAGGAAGCCGTGGGCCGGCCGCGGGCTGGTCGTTAGGCTGCGGTCTGCGCAGGCGCGGAGAGGCGTTAGCCGGGGCGGGTGTTGCCGGGTCGCTTTTCTTTGTTTCGCTTCTCACGCCCTAAAACAACGCAAAACAATTTCGCGGAATCTTTTCTGTTGGTGTAACTTACCCAGAGTGCAGGGTCCTCGGCGGCTCCAGAGTTGGGGGCAGGACAAGCTGCCCCGCTTCCTGCTCTTTCTCACAGGCGCGCGCGCGCAGTGCTGGGGTATCTGCCTCCTTTTTCCTGTTTTGCACCGGACGCTTGCAGCGACGGTGCAGTATTGTGTTGTCACTGGAAGCGATAGAAAGATACAGAACGATGAAAACTGCAGTTTTGAAGTTGTATCTCAGCCCAGTGTTTTGGTTGCAGGAATTAATCTCAGACCTCCACATCCTCCGGGACTGTTCGGTTTCTCCCAGTTGGCAGGAGCTGCCCCTGGCCCTGTGCTTGCGGGGCTGCCTGTGTGCTTCAGTGGTGTGGAAGTGTCAGTTTTAGAGCTGCGCTTCCCAAACTTAAAAATAACTTTCCAGTCTCATACCAGTACTTTTGGAAAATACAACAAAAATGAAATGCTAGAAAAATGATCATGTGCTTGGATGCCCGGTAATGTTAAACTACTCTAAAAGTTTTCAAAAGCCTAACTGTCAATTTCTGTTGCAGACTCCTAGTAGTTCGTAGACATCACAGATCCACCGACCCGAGGACCATATTTTGAGCAGGATTATTGGTGCCGCGCTTCTCAAAGTGTGGCCCCGACGGTTTGTGCTCTAAACAAGCCGTCTAGGTGCTTCTAATGCACCCCTGCAGTTTGTAAACCTCTACCTTAGAGCTGTTGGAGGATTAAGTCGTAATTAGTCTTTACGTATGACCCACTACCGAGAAATCCTGCATTTAAAATTCCCTAGGAATTCTTATATTTTTCTTTTCCTTAAAGAATTGTCGAGTGTATATAACGGGTTCATGGTGAGGATCTGCATACCGTGTACTATACTCAGTATGAGATTGGAAAAGGTAGAGATGTTTTGGATTTGAGGCAGTTTGCAAATTGCTGTTGTGAGACCTGCTTCTCATTCACTGTATGGCAGTTCTATTTGCTATGCCCCCATCGCTTCACTTCCAACACATCGCCAGCCCTCAAAGTTTATGTTATTTTTGACTCAAATTTGGAAAATGAGTTTTGAAAAAAAATCCAGATTTACTCTGTTGATCTCTAAACTATATAACCGGATTATCTGAACTTTATTTATCTTAAAAATACTCTTTTACAAGCCAGTGTTTATAAATGGATATTTAAAGGCCAGGCTCTCTCAATGCTGAACTTGCCCAGCTTGTACTAAACTTCCTTTTACACACTACCGTGTCTTTGGTGTGTCCTCCCAGACATCTAAAAACCAAACAAATCAAACACTCTTCATTGGATTTCCAAACTGGTTCGAGATGGAGACTGACCAGAATTTAGTTCTGCTTTGTCTTAACCAAAGTCTTCCCAGTCATTTCCCCAGTGTATAAATGACAGAAACGAGCCAACGATTTCTTGTTCATATCTACATCATGACTCTGCAAAACATCAGGACCTGGTTTTCTGCTGGGCTCTTCTGTCTTTTAATAGAGCTGTATGTGCATCTTGGGATCTGGACCAGTAAACTGCTTTTTCTGGTGTAGGGCCAAGCCTACAATGCCTATATCCTTGTTGTTCAGCTGTTGTGACTCGTCCTCCCCCCAAATATTTAAATCTTAGAGTATAGCCTTTCTAACCTCCTCTCCTGGTACTATTCCTGCCTTGATATGCTGCTGAAAGCCCTGACTGGCGTCAGAAATGGGCAGTGTTACCTCTTTGGTGGGTTTCAGTGGCTGTAAGCTTGAAGCTTATGGACTTAATATTGTTTTGAAAGTTAAATTCATCTCTGCTACAACCTCCAATCTGTTTAACAGCTTTTCACTTCTCCATATTACCTCTGTGTCTGCTCTTATTTGCACCCTGACTATCTCTAAAGTTCTGTGACAAAAGCATCACCTTTTTTAGAAGACAAGGCCTGTTTAGCGTCTTTGACGCAGCCTAGTACCAGGTGTGAACTATTGCCAGATACTTCGGTGTGAAGGGTTATCATCTTAGCTTTAATCCTGCCTTTTTTTGTATTCTTAAGGAAAGTTGCAGCCTTGTATAAACTGCAGCCTAGTAGTAGATTTCTTCTTTGTAAGAAGGTAAGATTCAATCCTTCAAACTTCTTTAATGTTCAATTCTTCCCAGACTACTTAAAGCGGATCAAAACATGACTAGGCCTCTTTTGGGTGATTGATTATTATTTAACATTGTTTGGTGGGTGTTAGGCAATGCAGTCAGAGAGGAAAAGGCCATTAGAGATGTGCAAATTGGAAAAGAGAAGGTAAAACTAACACCATTTGCAGATGATAAGATTATATACCTGGAAAATCCAAGAGAATTTAGTCAAGTGTCAGGGTATATTCTTATTAGACAAACCAATAGCTTTTCTCTCTATAAGCAACTTGTTAGAAAATATAATAGAAGAAAATGCAACATTTATAATAGCAACCAAAGAAGTTAAAATTTAGAAATAAACTTTGCAAGAAATATGCAAGACCTATGTGAAGAAAAGCCAGCCTTGGTGGTCTAGTGGTTAAGATTCAGCATTCTCACTTCTGCGGCCTGAGTTCGTTTCCTGGTCAGGAAACCCCTCTGTCCAGTTGTCATACTGTGTCATGGTACGTGGATGGTATGTGTTGCTGTGATGCTGAAACCTATGCCACTGGTATTTCAGATACCAGCAAGGTCACCCACGGTGGACAGGTGTCAGTGGAGCTTCCAGACTAAGACAGACTAGGAGGAAGGACCTGGCCACCCACTGCCAAAAAAATTGGCCATGGAAACCCTACGAATAGCAGCAGAGCATTGTCTGATATAGTGCCACAAGGTGAGAGGATGGTGCAAAAAGATCGGACAGGGTTCCGCTCTGCTGTCCATACGGTTGGAGTTGGAATTGACTCCACAACCAATGTGAAGAAAACTTTAAAACGCTACTGAAGGACACAAAAGAAGACTTGAACAAATGGCAAGACATACCAGGTTCTCGGATAGGAAGGCTGAACAGGAAACAGATCAGTTCTCCTTAAGTTAATTTATGAAGGTAATGTGGTTTCAATAAAAATATGAATGATATATATGTTTTGTTCTAGAACTGGACACACTAATTTTAAAAATTCATGTGGAAAAATAAACAGGAATAGCTCTATTAATTATTAAAGGAGGAAGCCCTATCAGGTAGTAGAAGTAAAGCTTAATAATTTAAACAGTGTGGCGCTGGTCCATGTACTGGTACTGGTACTGACCATGATGGGTCAATGGAACAGAATAGAAAGATCAGAAATTCTTTAATACATATGGGAATGTAGCATATGATAAAGGTGCTATCTCAAATCAGTGGGGAAAAAAGTGGAATATTCAGTAAATGGTTATGGGACAACTGGGTAGCCACATGGAAAAAAAAGAAAAACCAACAGCAAGGTTGGATCTGTACTTCATATCTTACACCAGGATAAGTTCCAAAAGGTATATGATGATAATAGCTCATTCTTATTGAATGCTTACTATATGCCAGGCACTACAGTAATTACTTTACATTTGCATTTAATCTTCACAGTAACCCAACGAGGTAGTAACTATTATTATCCCCATTTTAGATGTGGAAACTGAGGCCCATACTGTTTTTCCATTTAGTTAAATGTGAAAAAAGAAACAGTTTAGTGTGAGAAACGGAGAATTCTTTTATAATCTTGGTGTGTCTTGGAATGCCTTTCTAACCATGACTTGAAAATCAGAAGACTTAAAAGATTGATAAATTCTATCACATCAAAATCAAAATCTGCGGGCAAAAATTACCATAAGCAAATTCAAAAGAAAAACTGGGGTAAATATTTGCACCTCATATCGTAGGTGAAGGACTAGTCTTCCTAATGTATAAGAAGCTCCTAGAAACTTATTAGGAGACAACAACATCCATTAGAAAAACAGGCGGGGGTTATGAACAGCTTATAGAAAAGGAAGTACAGTTGGCTCTTAAACATAGAAAAGGATGCTCCACTTCACTGACAAAGAGGAGGATGCAAGAACCATTTTTCATTTTTCAGATTGGCAAAAATCCAGAACTTTGACAATACACTCTGTTGGTAATTCCGTAAGGAAAGAGATGCTCTTGTACGTTGCTGGTGAGAGTCTGAATTGGCTCAGCTCTTATGGAAGGCAATTTGGCAATATCTATAAAAAAACTTAACTGCATCTACCTTTTGACCCTGGAATTCAATTTCGGGGAGTTTATCCTACAGACGCACTTGCATGTATGCCAAATGATGATTGAACCAGGTTATTCTCTGCAGCTTTGTTTGCAGTAGTTGAAGACTGGAAACGACCCAAACGCCCATCAATAGGGGCTAGTTAAATAAATTATGGTTTGTTCTCACAATGGAATATGCAGCTGTAAAAAAGAACATGGAAAACCTATATGAATGGGTATGGAGAGATTGCCAAGATATAGTATTAAGTGAAAAAAGCAATATCAGAACAGTGTTACATAGTATGCTAACCTTTGTGCGAACAGGGAGGAAAATAATAATATGTATGCACAAAGAAACTTTGAAAGGATTGCTAAGAAACTAATAGCTGGGGAGAGAGCTATGCAGTGAGCTGAAGATGGATGAGAAACACAGGTGGGAGGCTTGACTTCATGCTTTTTTATAACTTTTGATTCTTGTAATGTGACTGCGTTACTGAATTAAATAACCCCACTTTGAAGATGATCTCTCTCTGCTGTTTGTCGTCTAATTGACCACCTTTCTATCATCTTTTGTCATCCCTATTTCAAGTTCTATTTTTTTTTAAATTTTACTCTCTTTTTCTTGTCAAGTAGGTCTTTTTCCCCCCAATTTGCTTTTGTAATCAAAATCTACATTTTGGCGTGATTTAAAAATCTAAATTTAGAGGGTGAAATTGGAATAAGTTAATCCAAGTCATTTTACATTTCATAAATATTCATTTTTATTGAAGCGTCAATTGTGGTAGCATCATTTATACAAAGAAAAGATCTTTGGGGACAAATTCCTTCCACTATTATGTAGAAAGCATTATGTGTATTTCTTTTATTTTGAGTGATGTACATGGACTTTTAAAAGAAAATGATAGAAAACAATTTTCCTTTTAGAAAAATTTCCCGCAGTGTGTGATTAATTTCTAAATTGTAGGACACAGAACTATTATTTCTCTCCTTTGCATCCTGTCTAACGCTCTTTATTTCATCCTGTGTTTCAGAACGCTCAGTGTTCCCCTGAGGTCCTGGGATAAGAGTTTTCCGTACCTCTCAGGATTTCATCTTTATCTTCTCAGCCTTCCTCCCCACTATGCCCCTCTAGAACCCCATCTTCTGGCTAACAAATGTTTCAGTGTTTTGCCTCTAAAATCGCTCATGTGATTCTACCCAAGTGGGTTCCACACTCCAGTCTTTTCATTTAGTCATTCATTAAATGCTTGCTTAGGTAAAATATTGTGTTTTCCATCTATCTTTATCCCACCTCTTCCTCAACACATGCCCTGCTTGAATTCCACTTCTCGCATAAACCATCCCTTTCCTCTCCAGCCTAAGTGGCTCCTTTCTTTTCTACTGGACAAATAATTACGTACTGTTTTATGAATCCATCCTTCTATCGGATCTTGCATTGTTCCTTCGATGTCTTGTTGCTACCCAAGTTATTAAATCTATGTCTTGGCTCCGCACGTGAGGGTGAGCTGCCCAGAGAGATGGCCGTGTGGAGGAGGAGCCGTGTTTCACTCCTTGAAGGGAGGAGTCTGGCTGTGTTTGATCCTCATTTAATCCTCTAGTCTGTAGCGCTTCCCAAAGGGCCCCGCCTGCGTCAGGCACTCAGTAATGGTTTGTGGATACCTGGCAAAGATGCTTAATGCTTGAAAACAGACGAAAAAGGTGGTTTTTTTGTGTGACCGTTGTGTGCCAATGTGACACAGAGAAGCTAACACAGCTGATCTTTTGTCCATGGGCTATGCACTGTAAATTGTTTTTCCACTAGTGGTGATGGATTTGTGCTGATTTCCAGGTTTTCTTTCAGTCACTCTTGTGACCAGAGGTAAACTTTTCTCCTGGCCAGGATGAATGATGAGGAGCCCCTCATCTTTAAATCTCTGAGCAGGGACTTGCTAGGAATCTGCAGCAGTGGTGGGGAAGGAGGCGTCATGTTCAGCACTATCCATCTGGGGCCGTGGCCTGCCACCCTCAGGTTCACGGGTCACTGCAAGCCCCTGCCTTGTCTGGGGGAGGGAGGAGAGTGAGGAATGGGAGGCTGGTTGGGTGAGGAGACATCAGCCTGTGGCATGGGCCCCAAGAGAGCCGGCGGCCTCCAGGCCCTCAGCAAGGACCAGAGTGGAGACCTCTTTGCTGAGCTTGGTCTGGCCTCTTCACAGGCCCAAGTGGCTTGCCAGCTGTCACTCCTGCTGCTTGGGCAGATGGCCAGGGCCCTTCTTGTGCCACAGCAGCTGGCTGGCCCTGCCATCCTGTGCCAGCCAAAATCATCGAACTCGGGGTAACGTACGAAAGACTGAATTCTGCAAAAGATGGTTTCGAGGTGTCAGTGAGCGATCAGTGGAAGCTGTGGGTCTTGTATACCCTATTCTCTCATCTTTCTTCCATCATAAATTCCCAGTTTGTCTGAGAGTATCACAACATCTAGTGTTTGGTGAAAATGTAGCACTAGATTGCACGTTACTTGAGGGCAGGAATCCTCTTATTCTTTGTGCCTGGAACACAGCAGTCGGACAATTGATATTTGTTGAATGAGTGTAGCATGTTGCATTGTGAGCTCTGAGAGGCAGGCTCCCCTGAGCAGTATCATATGTAATAGACATACACATATTATGTATTATGGCACATAATAGGCAATAACTGTTTGAAGGAGTAATGAAGAGGAGAACAGTGCATTGAAGAAGACAGGAAGGGTTGGGGTTTGGGGCCTTGGGATTCCCATTGTTTGCTGGTTTCCATGTTACGGGTTTTTCCTATCAGAAAACTTTGTTAGCTGGACAGAATTTCTGCAGCCAGATGGAAATGTATGTGATAAAGAGTGGCCATATTTGTTGAATGGAGTGTCATGTCCACCCTGTTACATGAGGCAGTCTCTTTACCTGCCACTTCCTCTCCTTCCTGTAGTTCAGAGCATCAGCCTAGGCTTCGCTGCACAGAGCTGAGTTTCTGCCCTGCTGCCCAGAGCTTGAGCTACGTCAGATTTCTAGCGGGCTGTGGTTGTGTCATCATATAGTTCAATTTTTTTAGCTTGTATATGTCTCCTTACAAATTTTTAAGCTAAGAGCTATAAGAGGTTGAGAGTGTCTGGGGACAGCCTTATTTTTGAGTAAGTGAAATGGGCATTTATGGGCATCGCCCCCTTCATTGCCCTCATTTTATTGCTTTACTCTTTCTACCCTTCTTCTCATGGATGACTAGCTTCTTTCCAACCACTCTTGTCAGTGGATGGCTCCTGAAATCTATCTCATCTTGCACAAGTTCCCCTTTTCCGTTTCCAAATACTTACAGGATGTGTATGTCTTGCCGTAACCCTAAACTCAATTCTGAAACCAAACTTACCATTTTCCCTTCAAAACATTGGCTACGTATTTTAATATTCCCATTTCTGTCAGTGGCACTACTATGTTCTCAAGTCCCCAAAACTTAGCCTCATTCATCTTTGATCTTTGCCTCTGTATTTAATATGTCCCTCCTCCAGTAAGTCTTGATTG